AGGGAGGGAGGGGGTAAGGGAAAACTTGACAACTTCACACTTGGTGTAATGTCTATCGGACCAAGCGTTATCATAACATAAAACTCTGCGAATTGTTATTTCTTTTCAACTTTGATGGCAACGGTTTCAATTTTTCTTCGGTAGATTGACTTGTTTTAACTTTTTTCCCGATGACAAAACTGAATAGAACGGCCTCAATGCCATGTTTCAATGCCACTGGCATAAAATTAGCTTTAAGAAAAATGCTCACTGTAAGCTGACCTTTTCTTTCGAACACTGTTATATGCATCAACGAGTTGGTTTTCACTAGAATCGACAAGCAAATACTTTACCCGTAGTGATGGCCTTCTGGTTTCAAAAGACAAAAGTGAAATCGCGAGTTTGGTTGTCTAGGAAAAATAAAATAACTTTTGTCCTCACATGAGGACTAACGGTCCGATAGAGATTAGGGCACCTCAAGATGTGCGAGTGTTGATGACATCCGAGATTAGGTCCTGCCGTATTTGGCCACTGGAAATAGCAATGTGATGAATGCCGGGTTCGCATTCTTCAGAGGGTCAAACTTTTCAGACGATAGTATTCGCGCATGATGCAACCATGTTGTGTTAGCACGATGTCTAGTTTACTTTTTATTCATTGAGGGCCAAAAAACTCAGTCAGATGGATCTGGGACACATCAATTGGTAAGTTACAACTGCAAATACGGATCCGAAAGCGCAGAGCGCCTTATTAAATTCTTTTATGGGGTCGCAAACCTCGTCGATGTTGTTCCTGCCTTCATGTGATTATGCAAAATGTTCTACCTGCCTTGAATTCTAGATAAAGCATCCCCAAAATGTTTGAAATGCCGCAATGGTTCCAATACCGAATTCAATATCTTTTCGGTGAGAATGTGGCAACGAGCTTAGTTTCTAGAACCATGCAGGCCATAAATCCCGGGAAATCTCCGCTAGCTCTCAGACTGCTTTTACATGACGCTCTATTATCCTCAAAAAATGTACATATGACGCACTGTAACTGTTGTGTGTGTTTGGACTTTGTCCGCGCATTGTTTATTATTCTGAACAAGGTGCTCTGCCGTTTTCCACAGTTCATCTTCGCACACATAGCGATTTTCAAACCCCGAGCAACGCCGTTTCTTCACCTCAAGGTCTATGGTAAAGCATTCTGAAAAGAACTGCTACATTTAAATGCCTGTGGCACAGTTTGCACCTGCTTGTCGGCCCCTTTTTTTTATTGCAGTTTCAGAAAAAATGCAGTCGCTGGAGTCTGGGAGAAGAGTATACATCTCGTCATGTTTGTCGCTTCTCAAATCCGCAATGATTGAAAGAAATTCGAAGGAGATAAAGCGTTTCGGACAAGATCCACTATCTTCGATTCCAAAAGCAAAACAAAGAGTGTTCGTATCGAGCAGAAGAAGAAGAAACGTTTCCTGGCATGGCCATACGCTCATGAAGCGCTTCCCCAAATTATGTTTCGCAATGATATGGTCATAGAAAATGATGTATATCATCGGCAAGTTGCGTAAAAGCTCTCGAAATTTGCACGAATACTGCCAATTGTTTTCTGCGTGATCAGTAGTTCATACCAGGGCGAGGAGATGCATAAACAGAATACCAGCATCATAAGCAGAAAACAGCACCATAAGTCGTTTATTTGTTCGTATTCCATACGGTTCTCCATAATTAGCAATCCTTCTGAGTGCCGTTATGCCATGTCGATGAAAACGTTGAGGACGCAAAAAACACCAACAACTATAAATATTTTTGTTTTGAGCTGTGTCGACTTGTCTGAAGTGGTTCTTCTGCTGAACATGCTTCTGTTCATTCGAAAAAAAAAAAAAAAACGCAAGTTCTTGCTCTAGTCGAGGCCCCTATTCAAGACTCCAACCACAACTGTCGCCTTTCCCGCACGTCGAAAGTTCCGGCAGCACGACGCTTTCAGTTGCGCCTTCTGTTTGCGTGAACAATTATAGGAGAAGTGGAAATATTTTTAGCGAAGGATAGAGACAGAAATATCAGAAAAAACAAGCATAAAAGCGGTACTGTACGACAGGGAGCATGAAATCAATTTGAAACCAGAATCTTCCACGAGGTTCACGGAGATAACGCTCCTGCCTCAGCATTTCCAAGGAATAAACTGACAGCAGAGATCGTCGTAGCTAGATGCCTGCAATCGGTCTTCGAATGGATGGTGGCTTCTCAAGCCCCTGAGCAGCGAGCATAATTTTAATCGCGGCAAGCAGCATACTGTAGTTCGTTGTCCCATTACGGTGTTTAGTAGTCATCGATACCCTCTCTCGTTATGCTTGGGAACTGTGTGGAAGAAGGCGCTTGGAGTTTGTTGCAAGCCGGGAAGGAGCAAGTTCGGCTCTCAAACACGAATCCGGAGATCAGACATGAGGCAGCGGTGTGATAAGTCTGTGCAGTATTTGATGTGTCGCGAAATCATGCATTGCTGGCATTCTCTCTCAGGTCAGGAATCAGCTCTTGCCGACAAACTCGAATTACGACGATCAAAAAACGAATCCTCACCAAAGTGCAGCCGCATTGCCTTCCATACTTTGTCTTTGCCATACCCGGTTGAATAAACATGACGGATACAACCAAAGTGGTCACACCCTTCAGCTGTCTTCAAAGTAACAACCTTCCCCCTGTCTTCACGGGGTGGTTCCGGCCCGTTGTGACATCTTCTAATGTACCATTCGCATTAATTTCGTGTACCGTATACATCTAGGAATACTCAACAGCCACCGCTGGCCGAACCACCAGCGCAAACAGTAACGAAAATGAATGACCCCCCTACCAGGATACATCGGAAACCTAGCCAGAAAGTTGGTAGCATGAACCGCTCCCTATCCCTCTGTCCCCTGCCAACACACACGACTGGCGTCGCCATCTCAGCGCTGGCATCGCGACGGCTCTCCCCGCGATATAAAAACTCCCTTCCCCTGTTCCTTTTGTAGAAACCGCACATCGACCTGCATTCCATCCATCCGGGCTTCACCATCACCACCCCTCACCATGCTCGCCCGCATATCACTATGCCTCTGCCTCCTCATCGCCGCGTGCAGCGCACCGCGCCAAGCTCATGGCGATGCCCGGGAGAGCCGGCATTTTCCCGATGGAGAAGGCTATTCGTCTCCCACCCCAGAAGCGGAAACTTCGCAGCTGCTGCTGCCATTCACCCCCATGCCGACATCAGAGCCGTTCAGCAGCCCCGTGGACGACGGCCCAGATCCTCTCCCCTCTTCAGGTGATCTAGACAGCGGCAGGCCCAATTCGACTGCTGCCGAGTCCACACCTTGTGGGAACCACACATCCATTGGCCCTCAGCCCCCGCTAGCCGAGCCGTCCACAGAGGACGCGGCCCCCAGCAAGGCCGCGCGCGGCCCGCTGCACATCATCGCGGTCCTGTTTGCCGCGCAGCCGTCCGCGGAGCCGTCCTTGGAGGCGGCGGCCTGGCCGATGCCGACAGCGACCAGCGCTGCGTGGGGGGAGTGGCCCACGTAGGCTTCCGTGGGCAGG